CCAAACATTGCTTATCAGAAAAAAGGCAACAGGAATATGACAAAAAACTGTTGTGAAGAGAAATCTTTTGAGTTTGGGATTGCCTAGTAAATGCACTCCATTTGTACTTACTTCATGGCCAGGATTCGTAGCCTCACGATAGTAATAATAATAATAGTAATAAAGCAAGGTGTCACGAGGCAAGCGAAATCCAAAGAGGATTTTGTTTCCAGCGTAGACGTGTGCTAATCCCATCAAAGGGATGCACAAAATATGAATGGAACGTTGGAGAAGGGGCCACAAGGTTTACAATAACAGTCAAGACCACTTGAGCTGAGAGTAACTTATACCCTAGGATGAACAGACACTAAGCTCCATACAACAGCACTCTGCAAGGAAATAGAATCCGGTCATGCGAGCTGGTTGTATCCGTAGGAACAAAACAAGGAAATGAGTGGCCTGATGCGTGGAACTTCGCGGAACAAGGCGGGTTAAAATAATAAATCAGCGACGATATGCAAGAAATACGGTAGCGGTGAGTCATTGTGTGGACCACCTGTGCACGTTATGGGTTCGGGCAAATGAGAAACACAATAAAGCTGAGCAAATGCAGGGAATGAGAGGTGTGATATAGGCAGAGAGGAAAATTACTTCAAATACTACTAATACTACTACTTGTTTATCATTTGATAGACTGTAACGACTTGATTTGGAACGACGAAAGTGGGACAACGGGGAAGCAATATCAAAGGACACATTTGGTGGTGGCGCTGTAAAAAAGGGGGCCCCAAAACAAGAATGCAACAGAAAAACAGCAGCGCAAGATCGATGATTTTTAACGATCATGGCACTGAACCCGCAGTGCCAAGGAGGAGTAAAGCACGCGCCGACTGAAATGAACAGGCAACTAGGTACAAAAGGGTTATTAGCCAAGGCGCAGGATAATATGGAATAAGGGCAGGAGCAATCGATGACGGAGTAAATATGGGAGACAGGAGGCGTGGAGGGAGTCAGGTTAGTGGAAAATGCAAAAACGACAGACTGTAGGAAATACGCACCCATTTCAACAAACCGTCTGAACCGCATGGCATTTGGTCCGAGAAGAGTCGGCTGATCAACTGGGGAAATCATGGTGAATGAATGTAACAAAGGAGGAACATCGCTTAGTATGGATCGTATATCAAGACACCGTGGTGTGAAACACACACACAAATAGGCAGCATGCTCGTAAAAACAACCGGAAAACGAAGGGGAAAAAGTGTAGACAGACTCCATTGGAATGTGACTGGTGGTCAGACTGGATGTGTCCACCGAGAGATTATGAAAACTTCGGCCTATTACGTAGAACCGCAGTTATGCACGAGTTTAACTTGACTCCACATACAATCCAGAATCATCGTACCCCCACGGACCTATTCACGTCCACCTCGAGAATGAAAGAAATCATTTCCATGACTTGTTTTATGGCAATTATTTGGCCGACTTTGCACAATACTACAGGCATTTTATATAGAATACATTTACGGGAGTGCGTTTCTATTGAACAAACAATTAATAGTAGGCTGCTCGCTGAAATAAACATGAACTCTTACTTGGTCCAACAGGGGACCGCTTATTCTGGTGCACTTCGTGTTCTCTCCAGATTTCCAATGCTCAACGGCACCAAACAAACCGTATAAATGGGGGCACCAGCGGTCATACGCGCTTAGTCTGGATGGGATATATCTACACCGTGCATGAGTCCGGACTGCTGTCACAAATATCGGAAAGATTGAAAACGAATGTACGCCATAGGCGTATTTGTATTCACCATGCAATTGTTTGAACGGTTCCCTTCTTGTTTAGTCTGGACGGAAGAAGCTATGGGCTCACTAACGGTACACGTCTTTGGCCGTGCGGAGATTTGAACATCGGCACTGTCAGGCGAACGTGTTGCCACTACTCTATCATCGCACGATGGAAGGGGAATATGTTCAGCTCAGGTAATGCGGTTGGTTCGCCCGATGGCTCCAACAACGACCCCAAGGAAACTCTGAAATCGCGTCCCAGCTGGACTCGTGCCTCTGGTCGAACTCGTCCAGTACGACTTAGTAGTTTGAATAGCTTGATGAAGCACCAGTTTGGGATGTGTGTACACACAAACCAGACTACAAAGGAGAAGCTAATCTGAGGTAGAACAACTCTTTGGACAGGATCGTAAAAAGTCGAAAGTCACACGTTCTCTTGACAGCTAGCTACAATTCTCACCATTGTTAACCACATCATGGATGAGACAACTGAGAACTTTGTAAATCGCCACGCTAATCATTGACCTAACAAGCAGTCTTTATGTATTCAGCAACAAGTCAGAACCTGAAAGAAACCAATGTCCATAGGTAGGGTAGAAATATGTACTCGAGTTTCCTATGACTAAAGTCAATAACCTGTTGTTTACCGACAATAGATGAGCAGAACAATCGAGAGGCGTCTGTAAAGCACACCAAATTTTAGCCGGGGATTAAACTTCTCCCGGCCTAGCAACTGGGTGTGTGGGGGCATAAGGTCTTGACATGCTTGCCAAGATTTTCAAGTGAGACAGCGACACGGGTCAACCAATCGCAGTCAAAAGGCTTGCCCGTTTAGAACGATCATTAACATCTCAGCCAATTGCAAGGCATTTCCTGCAGAGTAACACAGATGTGTCCAAACAACCTGTAAGAATAGCAGGTCGAATGGCGAAGCTCAGTTGTTCTTCAGCAGTTTGCATCAGGACACGGATTGAAATCCAACGCACTCTTCCAATACCGACTCGTTAATTGGTCACTACGACGGGAAACTCATCAGGTTTTAATGGTTCCTCTCACTACCAGCTTACATTCCCACTTTGCTTAGCACGAATATTGATTAAAAGAACAGTAGAGCATTGAACGTGAAGAACACAAAGCCAATAAAAACACCAGCATGAGCTAAATACTTGCATCGTCTGTGGATCGCATGGATACATTCGTGAACAACAATAGTGCTAATATCGCACATGGATAAGTAGCGAAGATAATTCTGACAAGTAGCATTAATCGCGGTGGCAAGCACACGCACACGTACAGACACAGAAATGAAGCATCAAGGTCACTCACGCGATTGTATTCGTTTAAACACATGGCGTGATAGAGATTCCTGGAAACGCTGAGAGTAGAAACCCGGTGGTGTGACCGATACCGTTCGCTGTGGCAAATAAAAGAAACAGGTTTACGATGTGTATCACGGTGTGTGGTGAATGCATTAGGTATGGTGTGCTAGGACCGACAGACCCTGAACAAAACAAATGCAACTTGAGGAGTGATTGTGTGGCAGTCTACAAATAATTCAAAAGGCATACAACCAGATTGCTTTGCAAGTGTCACAACACAGCAATAAAACTATATGGGCCTAGCAAGAAGCCACATCGGAAAGTTGTAGGGGAAATGAATCGAGAACTGTTCCAACTCAGTAGACCTCAATGGCAGCGAAACATCAGTTCCACATACAACCTTGTTGAAAGCTTCAGCAAAGAGTGGAAAGAAAGATTACTCTATATCTTTAAGAGAAACGAGTAGGAATAATATGCCTGCATCTTTCGACAGCTCATATCTGAGCATCAAAGCGACTTAAGGCACCTCACCCGACACAATCCCAGCGCACACCTGCAGGCGAACTCCAGCCCAGCAGTCCGGCTGGGAAATGACAGCATGCGCGCCACAGATATAGGTTGCGTGCAATATCCTACAGGGATTCTAGCCAAATGCAAGCAGGATTATGTTAGCCCTAGCGAAAAAGCCGCAAAGATCCCACTGCACTCAGTTTGACCGTATCCGCTTACAATTTACGTTGTCACGCCAGGATCTGTCCATCCGCGAACTTTTTAACAACATCCACCCAGATCACCCTGGTAAATTCAATCAGCTAATTCGACAATTCGAGTTGATTATCACATGCTCGCTTACGCACCACTCGCTGCAGATGGTTAACTCCTGCTGTGCTACGAAGACACCGATGATGAGTGAGGATGCCTAGGGAGAGGCCAAGGCTTACAATCATAAAGTAAGATCGTTCTCACAGTTGCCTTATACACATGGTCATTTGGCTTTGGTGTAATTCGTTTTTGACGCCATAAATGACGCGATTCAGCGGAGGCTACCCACGCCCTCATTATCCGTACATCGACTTCATTCACCAAAGTAGAAACACGGTTGCAACAGATGTGAATCAATTAAGAAAACTCAAGTTTTCCGTTCTAAAGTGAGGAGTCGCACTTTGAAGGTGCAAAACGCATGCTGAAACATAGTTAAAATATTTTGGGTGGTTAAAAAAACGATCGTGTAACAACAAAACGTCATCCGCCTAGTCGAGATTCACTAATCTCTCTCCACACGCATATACACTTATTGCGTCTCGGATTGCGCACGTCACGATAACATCGACGGCACAATTGGAAAAAGGGGGGACCACGACGAACAACACTGGATTTCAGGGCGCTTCTTAACAGCTCATTGTACATCGGAACCCCACCGGAGGTATGGAACTGCAAGACACGAAAAAACATTCAAATGTAACACCCTTCCAATGCCTAGCTACCATGCCGGCCGGAGGAAGCACGGGGGGCAAGATACTACCAGGTTGCTCAAGCCTAGACAGGGGAAGTCGAGTGGCAGAGGTCGGGTCCGAACCACGGACCTTCCGGTCAGTAAATTAGCGTTCTAACCACTTGAACCACCTAGCCTCCGGAGAATGTTCACGAACTCCAAGAGATCCCCGCTCCGGTCAAGAATATTTAGTAGAGCCAATCTGTCCACGTAACCGGAGGCTCGTTAAAGCCGAGGAAAACCACGACTGCTGGCTGGCAGTATGCGTCACGTTCATCATGTAGAGATAAGATCCATGCACATCCTGTCAGGTAGGACTCTTGCATAACGCCCTCGGGGTCACGTTTCACGTGCCGAAAGCGTCGTAATATAAGGGAAGGAAACGGCCGCGAGACTTACACTTTTGTGGTTGAGATGACATCATCAGCATTATCATTAGGGACAGCAACATCAGTTTTGACATTGATGCTTTAGTGCTTTAGTAACAACAAAGTTTATCTAATTATATTTAAAGCCTTAGAGTGGAAGGAAAAGGACAGAGTGGATGAGAAAGAGAGCCTGGTGCTGGCCTATGTCAGGCATTCTGATCCACACTTCGTTCACGAACTCCAAGAGATCCCCGCTCCGGTCAAGAATATTTAGTAGAGCTAATCTGTCCACGTAACCGGAGGCTCGTTAAAGCCGAGGAAAACCACGACTACTAGCTGGCAGTATGCGTCACGTTCATCATGTAGAGATAAGATCCATGCACATCCTGTCAGGTAGGACTCTTTTATAACGCCCTCGGGGTCACGTTTCACGTGCCGAAAGCGTCGTAATATAAGGGAAGGAAACGGCCGCGAGACTTACACTTTTGTGGTTGAGATGACATCATCAGTATTATCATTAGGGACAGCAACATCAGTTTTGACATTGATGCTTTAGTGCTTTAGTAACAACAAAGTTTATCTAATTATATTTAAAGCCTTAGAGTGGAAGGAAAAGGACAGAGTGGATGAGAAAGAGAGCCTGGTGCTGGCCTATGTCAGGCATTCTGAGGTGTCCACACTTCCAAGCGCTTAATCAGCCAATCCGGAAGGAAACCGATAGCACGATGACGCTTGAAAGGAAATATACACTCTGAGGCTAAAGGGGACTCCATGATATTCGTTCACCTTTATGTTGAAGGCCAGAAGTCTGGATTCGAGGTAGCATGTGGCCATATGAATTGTTTTCGAAGTGCTGTGCCCAAAAGTTCAGACATTCTCCTTTGCTAGCTATCGGAAAGCAATTTAGGTCCCCGATAGTTTCGAGGACCACTCAAAGGAATCAGTCACTTTGAACACGGGTAAGACCACCGATTGGTTTTAATTCTCCGGAACACATTCTTTTTTGCAAATACTCTCGAACAGCCTGGCGAAGGCGGGACACAAAACTTCCCCCCTATCTTGGAATAACATTGGGGGAAGCTTAACTTGTTCAGCGGGCGGCCGGTGCCTCGAGGCACTTCAGAAATAAAACACGGGTCCTAAACTCAATATATATATATATATATATATATGTATATATGTTCGGTTGCTAGTATTGTCTTTCACTAACTCAACTGAGGGAACATTCGAGATCCTGTTTTACGGATAACCCGGAGTACTTTGCGTGCATTTCAAACCACACTGGCGTCCTTCATTCCCCAAGCTTTTTGGTCCCACTAAGCCCCATGTCCGCACACACATTACTCCTCAGCTATCGTCCAACTGCCCATCTAACAGAGTTGCACTTTCAACCCGAAAGTGTACAGCGTTTCGTATTGAGGAGTGATAGGGAATGTGATAAAATCCAACGGCCTCCGAGTACGTGCTCAGAAACACCACAAACAGTTACCGGTGTCACGCATAGTCATGACACAATCACGGTCAATGTCATCCAAGGGGACCACTCGTAATTCACTGCAGATTAGGCTCCAACTAGAAACTCATAAAGCCTATCTACTGCCGCATGGAGGGCTCGTTTTTGACGTTTAATGACAGCATAATCCGATTCAACCTGTACACTCCAGGACGATCGGTCATAAAGAACTGAATCGCGCCGCCGGTAGACGATGAAGATCTGGTCAGCTTGATTTCTGAGTAGAAGAATGATGCCAGGTAGCACAACGGATACCACTGCATCTAAACTCACTACTGGTGAGAAACAGCACAAAGTTGCAAAAGATATTCACCGTTATCGTTGCGTTTTGTGTCCAGACTAGAAATACCACCAAGGTGTGCTTCTGATGAACTGGGACGCCATATTGAAATCCTCCGCTATTATGACTATTTCCGAGTTGTTTGTGGTGGACAAGAGAGTGGTCAGTTCTCAAAAGAAGGCGTATTCCAATGAGACAGGACCAAAGTTTCATGATGGACACAACAAACAAGAAATTCGGATTTTGACCAGCGCCAGCTTTCATCGAAGTGGGAAGCCGGACAACACAGAGTCGACTGCTCACAAGAACTCAATCGAGTAATGCAGCCCCAGCTCGTAAACTCAGCGATATATCAATACTGGCGCAACCCAATCGGGCAGTTACACAATCACCCAAAATGTGTATGCAGTCTTTAGGTAGAGCAGGCGTCTTAATCTCAAAAACGGTTCTTTGACCTTGTGTTTGAGTCTCAGACAAGCAAGACATTTCAACTGATGAAACAACTAAAATGTAACAGTGACTTGCTTGCCGACATGCCTAGGAGTTCCTACGTTTAAGATTGGAGTGAATAAGGAAGAACGAGGCGGAGCGGCAGATGTGACGTCAAGTGTTAAATTCCCAGGTACCTGACTGACGTGCCTACAACTGGGATCAACACAAGAGTATTTATCAAGCTGAACAACAGGGGATTGGGAGGTAAAAATGAGCAAAAATAGGAGTCGTGAACAGTCACGATTTTTCGCTCATCCCCTCTGGTGTGTGCAGGGAACAAGACCACACGGCTGATATCATTAGAAGACAGGCGACGGGGCACGAGGGCACATTGGCCTGTACAGTTCATGGTTGCGTGTGGGCTGATGCACTGCCAAGCATCCCATATTTAGACAAATGTCTGATTGCAAGGCAGCGCTGGAAGGCGTGAGACTATCTAAGTAGCCTAAATTTCTACTCCCCAGTCTGGAGAGACAAGAGACTACGCTTGTCACATCCCCATCTACTGACCAGTCTAGTAGGACACACTCCGTGGATGTTCATTGGGCAACAACGAGCAAAAGTGAATGGATTACTGAGGTATGTAGAACGACAAGGTCCGCAAATGAAAGTGGTAGAGTAAGCAAGAACGTAGTCGAACAGGCAATGGGCCGATCGTGGAAGAACAGACACATACTTACTCCATCAATGGCAATGGCTTTGAAACCGTGCTCGAGCTTCTTAATGAGCCGATAACTCTGTAGGATGTCAATGATGCCCAGGAACAGCAATAACCGATCTCCGTTGCTATTTCGAGCAGGGATACCACCAGAGCTATAGAAAGTAGGGATGGAAAAGTCATATAAGAAAAAAATACCATGGTCCCTATCAGAGACACTAGAAATGAACAGGAAGAGTCAAGTCCGAAAACAATTCATCAAGGACAAGACGGAGATGTTTGGGTTCAACACTTGGAGCCTTCAGTATGCAATAATAATTGTAATGTTAGTTCGGTCCGCGCTTTAACTGAGTTACCTCGAGCCCCAATTTGGAATGTGTGGCCTGAAGAAAAAACCCGGAGGATATAACGACACCAAAAAAATCTTTATCACTGGCATCATTGAACATTAATCTCAGACGTAATGGCCAATAACTCAGCTCGGTGGCCGAATCAGCAGCTAGGAATCGTTCGGAGGCTTTACTAGAGAACCCCAACGAAATATCCAGTAGTTAAGTTTGTAAGGTGGGGGATAGCAAAATCACTAAGCCTTTTTGAAACCGCTCACATACACTCTATTAAGATACGAGAGAGTAATTACACCACTTGTCTAGCGCTTGGACTGATGAATAGATACGTTGACTGTGCGGATTATCGAACCCGTAGTCCGGCACCCCTAGCAGAAGCCTCAATTGATATTCACCTTAGAAGTTCCAGCAATCGATTTGTTTAGCTTTTCTAGCACCATCGTCTACTCATCCTTCAAAGTAGTAAAATATCATAATAATGTCAGCTTGGCTTCAATCCACCAGCACGAAGACTTTTAATGAAAATAAATAAGATCACTTTTCTAAATGGCAGGAGCAGTGGAGTTGGATAAACGCGCGGCTCTGACATCGTGACTTTTTTCCGGTGCTGAGAGAAACGACCTTTTTCACCATGTAGCTGGCCCCTCAGCCATCTGGGACTATCCTGTTTTGTGGGCGCTCAACTGAAATGGAGTGCCAGCAGTTTGTAACGAACTAAGGAAGTTCTAACAAATCGAAAATTGGTACAGACGTAATACACTACTTAAATTCATCATAATGCGAGAGATCCAGCTGGGTTTAAAGTAAGTCTCCTGTTAAAACCACACCGGTATATAAATGAGTGTATTTCGCTAAAACCGCTTATTTGCTTTGACACTCAGCAGCACAAGCAAAAAAGAAGTTAATCTCCCTCTACTGAATCATTAGAAAGTAGGCTAAAAGGATCTTCAAGTATGTACTCCAACGGTATGCTGAGCTGAACGACCCAGTGAGAGCGCTCGAACTTGCAGGTAACCGGGTAGTTCAACCGGGGTCAAAGCAGAGAATCAACCAAAAGCTTACGGAATTAAATCCATTTCTTCCTTCTCCAGTTCCACTGGTTTGGCGCTGGCCTCGATAGATTCCATTGCCGTACAATAGGCAGCCAGTCGTTTCGTGGAACGACCGCGAGCTGCGTCGCGTTCGAAAGTGCTACTCGGCGAGGGACCTGCTGTGGGCAAATCGGAGCTGATGGAAACAATTTTCTCTCCATCAGCTCCAGGAGGAGCGCGAGACCATCGGAAAGCGTCGGAAGAAATGCCATGCTGGGCGCCGGAGCTTCGCAATGGACTGGTCTTGTGATGTTGGAGACCAGAAGTATCGTGTTGAAGGCCGTTAGGATTGGAATCGTCCGGTAATCGTTTTGCAGAGGATGCTCCAACGTCATCACCTCCAGAGGGCGTGCTTGCTGCAAATTTCAAGATACAGAGATCCAAACTTTCAGTTAACGGGAGACAATTGCACGCGATGTTTAAGATGTGAAAACGTGCGAAAAGAATCAAGTTGAAACCACACAATCTAATGGATCACACATTCCAGGCATGAAATTGAAGTAGGCAACCCACGCATTGCTAAAATTCGTTTTCGCTTTATAAGTATTGATTGACGTGTTGGAAGTTCTTGGATTAGGCAAGTGACACTTAGAATAATAGAGAATGACAGTAATAGCGTAGAATAACAAAGAACCTGACCCCAGAGTTCCTGCTGGCAATCGAATGACTGAAAGCATTCAAAAGTCGAGTACAATCGAATAAACGATAGTTCTAAGTCAGTCATTGGGCAGGAATGACTCTTCCAAATCCTGACTTTAAAAAGCATAATCCAAACGAAACGCCCAAATTAAATGTACACCCAAATGGTTCTTAGCAAACAAGACTGTCGTTCATAGTTTGAAAATCGTAAAGCACCTTCGTGTTAACTGAACCTTCTGTCTGACATAGTTCCAAATCAACGCCTGCTAATAAACTGAGTATCTCATCGCATTCCAAAGTAGTCACATTTTTTCGTGCTCCATAGATTACAAAACACACTTTTCGTATAAATTCATATATATATATATATATATGTATATAAATATAACCATACAGGCAATCCGATCCTGTAGTAGATACAGCTGAAAAACGATGCCTTTCTCGCGCACCCCTTCTAGAATAAACTACGTCCCGGGGCGGGTAATTTAGGTTGGGGGCATGGTCTATTAGGTAAGCTCGTATGGTGTCCAGTTTCTCTTTGTGAACACATTTTAGGGCTGAGTTGTGACTCACTGCCTTACGGTTTAGGTTGAGCACCTTGCGAAAAAGACATACTAAGCAAACACAAGCTGCCTTTTGGGCATCAAAACAAGTTTTTGTGAAATGTCTGAAATAGTCCCTCTGAATGGACGTCTTCATGAGAAGGAACTATTCCCTTAAGAGATTTAGCAAGTGCTCACGGCCAGGCACGACCCAGAATGTGGTGCCCCCGGATAGAAAGTAGATGAATCTCAGTATCATGACCTGCCTAGCAGTTATTACTGCTGAGAAGAGGGTGCGCTATCGTGCGACACTTTAAGATGAAATATGCAGTTCTGTAAACTAAACATCAGAGATGGTTTCAGAACTTCGACAAACCAAAGTGATCCAATGCGTATGCAGGTATTCACCTGGAGGGAGAAACAACTGGCTCTGAAAACAAAGTTCCGTGAATCACACTTGCTTAGGCTCTGTCATTCTGGCATTGTCCGCTGTGAACACTCGGTTGATACTGTATGTACGACAACACAGCGTTACAACACAGCATTCATACAGTCCATAATCACCATTATCCAGTACCACATGACCCATTAGTGTCCGTTAACGTTCACTGTCGGGTAAAAAATGATGAGAATCATGTAAACATGAATTGTGCCAGCTAGGAAGTTTGAACGTAACCTATCGTTCTGAAGGTAATTAACTGTCGAATGTGAACGCAAGTGAGATAGAGGTGGAACACCGTTTTTATCCAGCACGAATAAAAAGAATTAGAGAGGAACCCAGTTACAGGAATTGGGACTGTGAAATCGGACTTCGTCTGATGCATCTGGCCGTTCCGCTCACCCGATGTCTTAAGATGCGTTCCGATGGGAAGATTCCTTTTTACTCATTAAGGAGAAACTTCACGCTTGACGCGAATTCTAGGTTTCCCGTTAGGATAGGAGATCTGACGAAAGTGTACATATCCCTCCGAGCAACAGACAAGATGGCCCCGTATTAACGGATATTTACATGATGAAACAACATATGCAGTGGGGCGGTGTGTCCTTTGGGTCCCCAGAGGCAATCTGTGCAGTGCTGTCGAGTCCACTTGACGTGTGAAACGCGAAAACATAATAAATGGAGTTAATGGATTTTCTCAAGCACGGGTGTTTTTTGTTTTGCAAAAGACGTTTGGACGGCCTGCACCAATCATGTTCACATTATGCTAAGTTAGAGTTTGTCACAGAATCGCACTCCCCTCGAAAGTCGCAGAGTTGGAAGCGCTCTTCGAGACCCTTCAGCACAAAACTTGTGGTTAGCACCAGCGTTCGTTCGTATAGCAAACATGACTAGGTAGAGGAGCCAGCTAAATGAATTTTCAGACGGCGGATAATGAGTTCGTTTCACTGTCTACTGACTGTCCACAGGTGGTAGAAATCTTGCACGTAAGCTTTCATATTTGAGCACATGCACACGTAAACACGGATATCGTATTTTGAGTGAGCCGACGACCCGGTACAACAAGAAGCCCTTATATGGCTATGTGACAATACAAGAATGCGACAAAAAGGATCAGTATGAAGCATGATTAGTGTTTATCCGGTGACCTATCCTTCAGATGGTCTGTTTTTAAAAGGCGACTCTGTAACAGGGTTAGTAAGCTGAACTCATTGGGCTATGAGTACATGAGTCCGAATGAGTGGTGGAGGACAAGGCGAGACAGTACCCCTTTGTGATGAAGTTTCGGACTTGTGGGACTGCGTTTAAGTTCCCTTACGTGATTCAACGAAACAAACGCAACTCTTAAGGGAAGTCTAACGATGAGCCGACGGTAAACTCGCAGAAGTCCCTAAATACAAATTATGTCCTACTGAGCAGCTATTCGGTCAACTGATCAGACAGTAGGCTATTTTCATATGCAGAGTACAAAACTGGAGCCATTACTGAGCAGCTATTTGGTCAACTGATCAGGCAGTAGGCTGTTTTCGTATGCAGAGTGCAGCCAGTAGGTCATTTGTACAGTCCCAAACTGTGCTGCATTACTCGCGCTACTCCGATATAATCGTGGAATATTCGCGACATTGGAACAGTCCATCTCTGCAAAATCGACCTATTAAAAAGAACCTCAGGTTCCACATTGAAACCACTCTTGTTTGAGCAATCCACCTCCGTTGACGTAATTATTTCGGTGAATCTACACCAAATGGAGGAAGCACTAGACAACTAGTGCTCATAAGCAGTGCATATTTTTGGACGTATCGAGGTTTGAGCCCTGAACATGCGACATGCGAGGTGAGGATGTTACCACTACTGGATAAGTGCACATAGGACGTGTCTGAATTATCGTACCCGAACAGATGGAAGGATTTATACTTCAGCGATTAGTTGTAAAAGGTAAACCGTGAATTCAGCTTTTTCGATTTGAAGTCTCGTCTCGCACGTTACACATCACGGACAATAATGAATGGTCGACATCCGAATAGGACTTGTCGGTCAAACTACCAGCCAGTAATAAGGCAGTGGTGCAGAACCGCCATTGAGCCGATGAAGAAGAAAGCCTTAATGAGGAGCGAAGAGGCCATATCAAGGCCATCCAAGTTGATTTGACCTAGAAAATCATGTGAAGAGTTCAATGCCTTACCTTTATGGACTGCATTCACCTACATAGACCTATTACGATACTATGAAGCATCGTACAGCCGAAACGTGTGCAATTCTTGAACTGTGTCTGCCGGTAGCTAAAGTTGTGCTAGTCCACCCTAGAGACCAATCAAAGAGGCTAAGTGAATAGTTTTGGTCTTCGGCCTGTACCCTCCAAGAGAAATCAAGCTTTTTTGTCAAGAACCCTGAAGGACTAAACATTAGATTGCTTATGGTTTGGGATGGGTGGCTTCGATATCCAGCGCATGTTGGCTGGAGCTCGGGGTGTCAAAGGCATGTTTTTCTTTACACAACCCTGTTTGGATTGGAGCTACCATTCTTGGCGTGGGTTTATACACTACGAGGACCACGCAAGACGCCTAACGCCACGGAACGTTAAGTTGAACTGAAAGACCCCGAGTGAGTGACCGCTTACCAAGCTGTTAGCTTCAACCAGGATGGGACCAAGTAGAAAAACGGGGCAAGATGGGGGAGCAGGCACTCACTTTTCGCATTGTTTACTTGCTTCGTTGCTTGTTTCTCCATCTGCTAGAACGACAAGAGGTAAATGTTTAATGTGAGGTACGCAGTAGACGTCGGCGACTGGAGTGAGACCACCTCAAAAAGCATGTCTGTAAGTTTGGGACGTATAACTTTGGTCAACTATAGGTTTGTGATGAAAAAATGAGTGGGAACATAGAATAGACGATGTACAATGTTACCAGAATCAAGCTTCAAGCAAAATAACAGATGCACTGGTCTACGAAGCGGAAAATGAAATAATCGGCGCGAAAAACATAAGTCCACGTTCAAGGCATTATGGTTGGCCGTTAACATATCACAGCGAGGATTCCCTATCGTGATGCTACCTTATGAGATGCCTCACATGGCCGAAACGCCTGGCTAATCTCAGGATACGCACCAGGATCGATTCGGAGGCTTGTCTGCTAACGTGGAATGCGGAAGCCCAACCCGCCGGAAATGGCATTCACCTGTCCGGAAAGTGTTGATCTCTGGAGGTCTCAATAAAGCTGATCATGAGTATCAGGAAATCGCTCTTGCAAGGCACTTCACAACGTTTCCGAAATATCCATGCACGATCGATCGTTCAGGTGATCGCTGGTGTACAAAATCTGTCCCAGTCTTTACTGACAGTGTGTTTACTAAGGCGAGGGTCATAGCCGGCCTAAGGAATCGTGGATTAGAGGCTAAAATTACTCTTTAATCATTAACAAATGGGACATGAAACAGATGGCTCTTTGATGAAGTTCTGTAGGGCGATTTCGGATTCATCCGAGGGTCTGTGCGCAGTGATACAGTGCGATACACCTGAATCCAACAGGGTGTGTGCACAGTATGTCCCCGGTGGAGTATTTCCATTACCAGCAAACTCTAAAAAGCCGAGTAGAGTTGGAAACTTCTACCAAACCCTACGATAATGTTCTCTACGGAATCGGCTGTAATAGGGGTAATGCATCAGCTCGGTTCTCGGTCTGATCCCCCCAAACTGGTGCTTTCAGCAAAAGAACCACCAAGGTCCAAAACAATGTCAAAAAGACACGTAAAGCGCGTCATATTTAAAGTGCGGCGACAACATTCTGAAAATTCTTCTGGACGCGGCACTGAGAACTGGTATTCTGTGGATACTGGAAAATGATTGGCTGTTGATTTCACACTTCCGGCGAATCAGAGCTCGCCCTGATGCTGGACTGGTTCAACAGTCTTACTTTCTGGTCAATCGTTTGCGGGTTACTCCTATTGGCCGCAGCAGCGCTTGACTACGAGGTGTAAAACGGTTCTAGTACAGGAATCCGCCTAACATCAGTCTCTTGAAAATAAACAAGTCCCAGCAAATGTGAAAAACTTCAGTGTCGAGGGGTGGACGACGGTAGTCAAGTGACAGGAGAGACGAAAGGTCGAAACGTTTAATCGAACGAACGACCACATTCTCTGTGGAACAGTGACAAGTAGATGTATGCACCGAATGATCACCTATATCGGAGAAGTGAGTTGTGTGCATACAAGCAAAAAGTGGCCAGTGTGGAGAGCATTAAACATGTGGATGCCAGATACGCTGATGTGCGACACCCTGGTCACCTGGAGAAGGCTCAGGGGCTGAGATACTGCCAGGCTGTCCAAGTCTAGACAGCCGAGCAGTCGAAATGCTGTGATTGGATTCGGACAACGAACCCTGTGGTCAGGAAGTTGACGCCTTGACCACTGAGCAACCTCAATAGAGACCACTCGAGAGTACGAAACAAAAGTGATTATTTGTAGATGATATGTTGTCGCTGAGATGACTAGGAGTAATCCCTTCTGAGAAACGTTTTTTCGGTAGACCTCACGTGTACCTGAGGGCTCGTGGAAGGTGCGATCAACAATATCCAGTATAAGTGAAAGTTATAGAAACGATCACCCAATGTTACTACCGGGATGGTAGTTTCACTAAACTTAGCTAGACAAGCACAGGCGCAAACACAACGGACATCAGGTTCGAAACTACGTCCCAATCTCTCGCCAACCTAATGCACACAGAGGTAGCGAGAGAGTGAAAGAGAGACGTAAACCCAGGCTCCTGGATAGGCTGAATCCATGTCTGTATGATATGTCTCAAAATGTTTGTGTGTCGTGGACGCGTGAAGGGGAGAATGGAGCACTTTCAATGAAACAAGAGCTGAATGTGGGAGGAATTCAGTAATCCGTCAGTCAGGTCTAGAGCACGAGCAGCAAGTGGCGAATCGCTTTTATTGGTCCAGTTGGTGAATGTGACCATCGATCAATTCGTACCCATGGCGGTCGAGGCTGATACAGACAGCAAAAAAGTTTGTAGTAGTACTATCCCAATCTCATCGCCGCTCTATAAAAACTGATCTCCTATACATTAAAGCTAACAAGTACAATCGAGAATGAATTGAATTCCATAATGAAGTCACAAAGATAAACAAATCTTATGTATCCTTCGTCTCAAAGGCAGCTAAAATGACTCCTTCAGAAATAAAAGATTGTGAGGTAAGAGATAGTGTGGAAGTTTTGTTTAGTACGCTTTGTGCATACACTACACCGAGAAAAAAACAGCCTAAGCTGGCCAAAAAAGTTTCCATGTGGGGTTAGAAACGCGTAAAGAGATATGGTGAAAGAGAAAAACCTACTCGTTCCCGTTTGGCCTGGTCCAAATTATGAACGCCCAACAGAAGTGAGTAGTCCATGATTTCCAAAGACTCCAAGACCTGTAGAGGGTTGGTCAGGAGAAGAGAAGTGGATCGTTTAAACTGCCGTGGAATCACAGCATGATAAAGAATAGAATATAGTTGATGAAATCTCTTACAGGTGGACTAAGCTATCAAAAAGACAGACGACACCTTGAGGCATTGTAAATTTGCAGGTCAGATCCGAAACGAAGCAGGCGATAAGAAACATTACAGAAACCCTACTCACTAGAGACCTATACACATTTTTAAAAGAATTTCTCTCAATTTGTGCAATTCGTTAACTGGTCTCGAGTGAGCCATCAAACTGTTGTCATATGGGTCTTCGTTTACTATTTCTTGAAGAAAGTACCATAATCGGCAACAGCTTGTGATGAATGCCTATACAACCTTCTACCAGCTGCGTCATGGTTCACGAAGACGCAGAACCTTGATTTCTTGGACGAACAACTTCGCAAAGTGACTTGATTAATGGAGGATTTTGTTATCAGAGTTAATTTACGCTTGGGGGAAAATGATCTGAGGGATACATTGCATCAAACCGTTTTCTGAACTGAGATTTTTTAACCAGCAGGAATGCTTTAACCAT